CCACCCATGGGGCACTGCTCACGGGGCACCGCTCACAGGGCACCGCTCATGGGGCACCGCTCATGGGGCACTGCTCACAGGGCACCGCTCATGAGGCACTGCTCACGGGGCACTGCTCATGGGGCACCGCTCACGGGGCACCGCTCACAGGGCACTGCTCACGGGGCACTGCTCATGGGGCACCGCTCAGGGGGCACCACCCATGGGGCACCGCTCACGGGGCGTGCCTGCCTTACCTTCACGGCGTACTCTGCATCAGTGGCTTTATGCACACATCGCTTGCACACTGAGTAGGAACCCACCCCGATGTCCTCTTTGATCTCGTAGCCATCGGTGAAGTGGATATTGTTCCCGTGTAACTGCTGTAGAGAGGGACCAAGAGAGGAGAAGCTGTCAGAGCTCCCTCATGCAAAGGACCCACACGTGACCACATGCACACAGGACATGTGGGCAAATACTGTGACCTGGAAGAAGCTGAGGCCCAGGAGTTAATGGATTCCTTTGCCCAAGGTCATGGAGCTACTTAGTGATGGCTCGAGATCTAAATCCAAACTTCCCTGATTTCTTGGGTTATGACTCTTAATTTTTAGACACTAGATTATTCTGTGTCTTCTCACTTCCAGAAGCACTTGTAGCTGTTGGGCATGTGGCTCTGATGCCTGTGTCTGGAGAGAGCATCTGGATGGAAACAACTGACTCCAGGATGTCCAAGTCACAAGCTCCTTCTACCTGCATACAACCCTCCCCCCACTCTTAACTGAGACAAAAGCCACCGGTAACAGTATACACTGTCACGCCAAGTGTCCACTTCACACATGCCACATTTTCCCAAAAGATCACAGGGAGAGAAATATCATGTAAATCCAACACCATCCGATTTACCCTGACTCAGTTCTTAAAGTTTGATCACAATTGCCTCTTAGAGTTCTCTGTATTCTGGTTACATTTATAAAGTGGAAAACTCCTTATAAAAATATCATCTTCCATTGACCTCCCAAAGACTGCATTTCATGATAGCAAAACGGCACCCACTTTACCCTGACTCAGTTCTTAAAGTTTGATCACAATTGCCTCTTAGAGTTCTCTGTATTCTGTTTACATTTATAAAGTGGAAAACTCCTTATAAAAATATCATCTTCCATTGACCTCCCAAAGACTGCATTTCATGATAGCAAAACGGCACCCAAAAATTGATCCACTAGCCTGGAGTACTGGCTCAACTCCACATAGTGGCATGCCCACGTCTGACCCCTGAGACTCAGACACACTACAGTGACATCTTCCTCAGGGCTTTAGGATGAATGTAGGACAGGGGCAGGAGCAACTGCACAGATGGCCACAGGGATCACCATGGCAGAAGCTTGGTAACAATGGAAAGTGGGGGGGCAGAAGGGTTAGTGATTGATGTCCACTGCCCTTGGTCTCCAGCACCCAGGCAACTGAGTCCACAGGGACACCAGAGCCAGGCATCAGCCCTGCCCACCCGCACCCATGGGAGGCACCCAGAGTTACCTGCACGATCGGGTGAACAGGGACTTTGTGAAGATCCTGCTGTGAGGGCTCCTGGACCAGGTTGGAGGCCACAAAACTGAATCCTCTAAACAGGTGGTGAGCATTGGCACTCGGGGGGACACCAGGAGAGTCTGCAGGTGAACCACAGCAGAGTTCAGACTTCATAGGGGTGAGTGACCTTTGGAGAAGTGGCAGTGTATATGTGTGGTGTGTATGTACTTGTGGTGTGTGTGTGCATGTGTTCTTGTGGTGTATGCATGTGTGTGTACATGTGGTGTGCACGCATGTGGTGTGTATGTACATGGTGTATGCATGTGTAGCACATGTGGTGTGTATGTATGTGTACATGAGGTGTGCATGTACACGTAGCGTGTGCATGTGTGTGTACATGTGGTGTGTGCATATGTGTGTGTACGTGTGGTGTCTATGTATGTGTGGTGCATGCATGTGTGTGTACATGTGGTGCGTGCAGGTGTGTGTACATGTGATGTGTATGTACATGTGGTAGGTGCAGGTGTGTGTGTGTTATACATGATGTGTGCACATGTTGGAGGAACAGGTAAAATGGACAGACCCTGAACAATACAAAACCACTTCATTCTGGATGGCGCCAAAGGTTTGATTTTTAAATGGCAAAGACACCTAGAACAAACACTTTAGGATAATCATGGATCACATCTTTTCATTTACCACCTTCTGAACTTACTAAATGTGCTGAACCTCAGTCCTCCACCCTGCCCACTCCAGATGGAGACAAAAAAGCTCCAGCGACCTCCATGTGGAAGCGTCAGTGAACGTGGATGCCGTGTCCTTAGCATCTGGTTGTAGGTTCAGCAGGTTCCGCATGCAGGGATGCAACCAGGATTCAGTGGTCCCCGTGCCCCACATTCTACCCATGGCATGGCTGTCTGCGCTTCAGGGACATTTGGGCAAAGTCACTCCTGCTCACGGCAAGGCAGGGCTATGATAGGAGCAATTTCCTTGGATTGCGTAAGATTTGTCCAAAAGAGTGACTGCTGTGAGACTGACCCCATCTCAAAAATTCATCATTCAGTAAAACAAATGGACAAACGACTGGCAGGGAGAAAATACTTGCGTTATGTGTAACAGACAAGAGGCTGAGCTATTATGTGAAGCGATCCCAGAGATCGATGACAAAAGAGCAAAATACCCAAAAAAGACATACTGATAGCTCTCGTACGGATAAGAAGACGCTCAATTTGTGTAATGAGCAGGCATTAAGTACTTCAATGAGATAACACTGTTGCCTAAAGAATAAGCAAAACTGAAAGTAATCGATGATACCCAGGTTTGGCTAGGGGGTGGATAACCCTATAACTGCAGGAGGGAGTTTAAATTGGCATAACCTTTCAGAAGGTCGATGTGGTAGTGCCTCTCACACTTTAAAATTCACATGTCCTCTGAAGAGCAGCTCTACCTCCAGGAATTTACCCTACAGAATTACTTCCAAAATGACTCAGAAACAAATGCAGAAAATGTTTCTGTTTGCAATATTTGTTACAACAGAAACATTAGCGACAATCTAAATACCCACCACTGAGGAAATCATGATCATGATCCATACAGGATGCTTTGTACTGCTGTGTAGGGAACCCTAGTGAGACCGCGGTAATCAGAACAAATATCAGAACACACGCGGCTGCGAGAACTGACGCAGAGCGTGTTCCTGACAGTGTGTCAAGTAAAAAAAGAAAACAAACCATAGAACAGTATGGACAACATACACACTGTAAGAAAAGATTTTTAAATGTATATTAGCATACATTGTAATATATGAAATTAGAGTAATAAATAATACATAATATATAACAATTAGAATGTAACCTATATTATTATGTGCCATATAATATATAAATCTAGAATATATAAAAAGTAATTTTTTCCTGCAACAAATATATATATGAATTAAAAAAATAAATATATATATAAATCTTTAAATTATATAGATATGTGTGTGTGTGTTTACATGTTTTAGACCTATATACCCTGGAGATTGGGACTGGAAAGCCCTTTGCCTTTCCACATTTTTCTCTTTCTTCTGTTCGGTCACCTCACTTAGAAATGGAAACAATGGGGCCGGCCCCGTGGCGCACTTGGGAGAGTGTGGCTCTGGGAGCACAGTGACGCTCCTGCCGCGGGTTCGGATCCTATATGGGGATGGCCGGTGCGCTCACTGGCTGAGCACGGTGCGAGCGACACCAAGCCAAGGGTTGCGATCCCTTTACCGGTCACAAAAAGGACAAAAAAAAAAAAAAAAGAAAAAAGAAATGGAAACAATGTACGCGGACTATAGTTCTCAGTGTCATGTCCTTATGGCAGGGCTGTGGGGTTGGGAGAGGCAGGTGCAGAGAATGTGTTTTTTTCCTCAGTATTGTGTTTTGGGGACAGTGCTTATGAGGGTGGCTGCTCCTGAGTCCAGGAGTCAGCCATGTGCCCACGATAGCTCTTCCCGGGAGGGACGGGCTCATTGCGAGGGGCAGGGAACTTCCCACTGAGTGGGAGCCACACCCAGGGCATTCACAGTAACCCTGGTAGAGGCCGGCGTGACCCTGCATTCCTGTGACCAGAGTTGACTGTTTGGAAAGACACTCCCAACATGCTGGTTGTGGGAAGCTTAATTAAAAAGCAGAAGGCATGGCTGAGTAGTTTTTAGCTCCAAAGTCACGCCTGCGAGAACCGCTTTGCTCCCTGCGGGCGCCAGTGCTGCAGCCCAGGCTCCTGCCCTGCTGGGTTTGCTTCCTGCTCTGTCTCTTCCCTTGCACGGAATTGGGGCTCTGAGGTCTGCCTTCTTTTAAAAATCCCCCAAGTGACCATGTGCTGCACTAAATGTTTCCACTGGAAAAATGAAGCGCAACTAGATACATCATAGTTTAAGCAATCTTCAAACCTGAGACGCCTTATGTCCTCCCCGAGGGTTTTAGATTTAAGAACTTGAGCCTATTTTAGGGAACTCGCATGAGCCGCACAAAAGTTAAGGGCTGAGCACAGATCAGGAGTATGATTCATGGCAAACTGAGGAGTGTGTGTGGGGGGGTGACAAGCCACGTTAGCTTGAACTGATACACTTTTGTTAGCGAATGGAAATCTGCAGACCTTGTGTGCGCTGTCTTCTAACTAACACACAAGGACACGGGGTGCCTTCTGTGGCCAGAAGCCTTCTGCCTCTTCCTGCACAGATCCAGGACAGATGGCAGAAGGGGTAAGAGCAATCTGCTGAAGTTCAGGTGCATGTTTATGCAAAGTTGAAAGAACTAACATTGGATTAGCGTGGGCAGATCTAACTAAAGGATAGGGGGCATAAACAGAATTAAATGCTTTATAATCATCGATTATAATTGGTTTATAATCATTTATAACTATGCTGATTTTTAGCATACTACTGAAACAAGAGTAAAAATACAAGTTGGATAAAAGGAAATTTAAAACTAATTACAAACAACTGATGATCCATGGGTATGTTATTTGTGGAATATGTCTGGTGGGTTTTTAAATCTTAGATTGGCATTTCTTACCACTTGGCATACTCCAATGGACATCTGATGTGTGATCAGGGAATATAAACTAGCGTGAGCATTGACTCAAGTTTTAAAAAAGGCTATAAGCCTATTACAAGAAATTCCCCTAGGGCACCCAGAGTCTAACATGAAGAATTTGTAGACTATCTGCTGTTCTAGAATCACATAGTTACAGCACCTGTTTAACCCAGTCACATGTGAGCTCAGCTCAAGTGCTTAGAAAGTTTTACTCTTTTATAAAAATCAGAATGACTTTTATGTGTCTTTAGCACTTCAGTTACTGCCTACCTCAAGGGCAAACTGCGTGGTGTGCTAAATTAACTTTAAGTAAAATTGATTGGAGAATTTGAAATTGTAAGGAATAAAAAAGCCAGTTCTGGATGACGCTGGCATGCTTTGTGTCTAATCATGTTTCCTTCAGGCTAATATTAAAATAAAGTTGAATTCCCTGTGTGTGCAAAAGGCTTATGAGATGCTCAAAAAAAAAAAAAAAAAAAAAAGCTTGCTAGTCACACTGGCCAAGAGGTCGGAGTTTAAATTCTTCCTGGGTAATGTAAAAAGCATGTACATGTGAATAATTTAGAGTTGACTGTGCCAGCATTTTCTTGCCTGTATTTTAAACACAAAGCTCCACATGATGGCAACCACAATGGAGCAGAGAACATTCCAGAAGGGACTGTGACATCTGCACAGACATCTGCACGGACGCACAGACAGCCTTCTCCTAGTGGCAGCTGATTGCCTCTGTATTCCTTTTACATTCGGGTCAGTTGTAGGAAGAGAAATAAAATGACTTGCTCAGGTGACCTGTGGGCACAGCCAGGATGGAATCCCCCAATCCTGCCTCAACTTCAGAAGCTAAGAAGTAATTCTGTTCTGTGAATTGGGTTAATTCTGTCAATGGGAAAGACTGACCCCAACACACAAATTCTTTCTAAGGAAGCTCCGAACGGGGTGAAAATCCCACCATCACCTATTCAACAGACCCAGAAGTTTCCTCCTGGGCAGCCTCTTAAATCACACAGCAGAAAAGACCCAGAACTTAAGGGCAGTCACCAAGCAAGCTTTGTCACTGAGGCCAGTTTTGATTTTACCTGGGGACTGCAGGAGGACCCAGAAGGAATTAGTGAATGATCTGTGTCATGACACCCTAGGTAATAGTGCCCGGAATCAGCCTCCTTCCTATGCTTAGTGCCAATGCTGCTGGGGTTGGGAGCTGCCCCAGGCCCTGGAAAGCCCCACAAGAAGCCCCACAACACTCCCCATCCATATGTAGCTCACAACCAGCTCCATGTACTCCTCTGTGCATGGGAAACAGGATTTCACCAACAGCTTGACCCAGAGGGAATAAAGCAGATTCTCTTTGTATATTTGATACTTTGATATTTTGTATTTGATACTTTGTATTTGACCATCTATTTGTTTCATGATTACCTTTTAAAAATAATTGAACATCTCAGGTTCAAAAGCAGTGAGAAAAGCACAGCGAACCCCCTCCCAGGCCCAGCATGCAGCCCCAGTTACCCCCAGCTGGCTAAGCTTGTGCACAGACCCAGAAGTTTCCTCCTGGGCAGCCTCTTAAATCACACAGCAGA